TTTTTGACTATTTTTGTGGAAATAGCTCGATCACATGACACAATTTTCAAAATTTTCACTCGAAAGTCGTCTGTTGTAACAAATCGAATACAAAATTTGTCGGAATAGTGAAATCACGTGAAAAAAATATAAAAATTTTTATTTTAAAGACGTCTGTTGTGACAAATTTAATACAAATTTTGTCGAAATGGACGCATTCATAATTTGAAAATATTTAGCGCTTGTTCGAAATATTGTAAAAAATTATTTTTAAAAATGAATTTCAATTTTAATGATTGGTGATTAATAATTAAAATGTTGTTTTATTGTTAAATGATGTAATAAATAACGAATAAAAATGATTTAGAATGTAAACAATATAATAAACAATAAATAAATAAACGAATAAATAAATAAATTTTGTTCAGTCATTGGTATTTGAAGATGCCCATTAATATCGAATTCAGCATTGTAATTTTTGAGAAGAATCATCAATTCAGAAATGATTTTTGATGGTTAATCATTATGAATCCTGGTAAAAATTGAAATCAAAAAACTTTTCTTTTGATAAATGTATCGCCCTTTTTCTTTGTGCATAATTTAGCATTGAATAGGACGGATTTATCATATTTTTTGATGAAGCAATAGATCTTTTATTGCTTTGATGAACTCGCTCATATTTATATGACGAGTTGCGATAAATTGCTCCAAATTTTTCCGCATCCTGCCAATAATGCAGGATGTTGTGGAATTTAGGTGTTAGATTGAGACCAATTAATTTATCGGAATAAGATTCAACAATGATTGTTGCACATGTTTTCAATTTCTGAATATCTCCCTCATCCAATTGATGCTTATGACAAAGTTGTGCAAATTCTTTGGCATTCGTATACAATCTGTATGCGATTGTATCTGGCATTAAAGGACTTGAGAGTTTGATGAGTAATTCATCGAAACGACAAAAAAATTCAAATTTCTTACAATGAAAAGAAATTAGGTTATTATGTGAAAATTCATGAAAAAAATATTACCGATGCTGCTGTCCCTTTGAGTTTGAAGGTTGATAAATTTCCACGATGTGAGCCTATTATTTTGACTCTGTCCTCGTGGTATTGAATCTCCTTCATCGCTCTTTCGATTCGGGAGGTATCGATTTTATTTATTTTGATGATGGCAAATATAATGTTTTCACAAATGCCTTCATCAAAATCATGCATACTGTAAAAATAAAGAATAAAATTTGTTTTTAGAAATAAAATTTTTGATAAATTATTTACCAATCGAGGGGGGCAATATTTGAAAGGCATAGACCGGGCAATTCTTCCCATATGCATATTTCTTGGAGCCCATAATCCTTCAGTGACGCTTTAGGACAAGATTTTTCCTTTTCAAGAACATCTTGATAAAAAACCAAATTAAAATCTATAGGTTTTTTACAATGTCCAAGTTCGCTCTTCTTGGCTTTGGCTCCGCAAATTCTGCAAATGAAAGTTTGGCCCGTAAACAGTGTATGGTAACCTGAAATAATAATTCATTTGAATTTGTTATTAACGCATCATCAATAATAAATAATTACCAAGAAGTTCATAAATTCCTTTATTATCACCGCAAACAGCACTGACACAAATTTTGAAATTCATGATGATTTCTCGACCGGTATCATCTTTATATGTTTTGTTGATGCCTTCATTCATTATATATTTTAAATCTTCAATCAACGGTCTTAGGACATTCAATTTTTAGTTTGTATCCAGTCCGTTTCATCTCTAACCGATTTATCAACATTACAACAAATATATCGTTTTTTTTCAAACGATATTCCAATGGAATTGTTGGACATGATAAATACAAGGCAATATACATGTGATTGATATTTTTGATACCGATCGGATTTGTNTTTTTTGGATGCCTTCATTCATTATAAATTTTAAATCTTCGATCAACGGCCTTAGGACATCATTTAGTTTGTATCCAGTCCGTTTCATCTCTAACCGATTTATCAACATTACAACGAATATATCGTTTTTTTTCAAACGATATTCCAATGGAATTGTTGGACATGATAAATACAAGGCAATATACATGTGATTGATATTTTTGATACCGATCGGATTTGTGATGGAAAAATCATCGAAACCAAACTCCAATTGGAGTTTGCCCATCATGGCATTGCGTCTTAGTTTATTGAAATTCAGGTGTTCATTGTATTTCAATTCATTAAACGAGTTGCTTTGTTTGCAATGAATTTCTTGAACTAATTGGGATATGATATATTTATTATTCAACAGAATTTTTTCGCAAATTTTACTTGGTTGCAGCCAAGAAAATTTGAATTCTGCTTTGTACGATGGATTTTTTGATTCCCATCGCTCATGGACTTCAGTAAAAAAATAATAATCACTTTTAGTTATTCAATTAATTTGATTACTTTACCTGGTTTTACGAATGTGGGCAATTTCTGAACGAATTGGTTTAGAAAATATCTGCTCTCGGATATTCTTTGCATATTTGAATATACTTCTTTACATTCAATATTTGCTTCAATATCCGGTAATACAGGCAAACAATATCCAATCAAGGATGGAATAATTTTATTGATTGTTTGCATGTTCATATTTTCACTATATCTCCACCAATTAACATCCAAAAGGAACTTTTCATAAAGTTCTGCCCATCTTGTTCGCATTAAGTTGTCCAAAAATATGGATTCATGGTCATCTTTTGTTGGCAAAATTTCGGCTTCAAATTCTGTACAGATACAGTGAGTATTTAAGAATTAATAATTGAATTTGTTTTGTCTCCCATTAAGAGTTGTTCATCACAAAAAATTCATAATAAATACATGGTGAAAAAAACAATCAATTGTAAAGATGATTAGTGGCAAGTTTCTAATGACTCTCGCAATAATCAATTACCTTTTAAATTTTCTTCGTTCAAAAAAATGTATGGTATTTCGATGTTACCTTCGTCATCACTTTGAATTTCTTCTTGTTCTTGTTCTTGCATCATATCCATATAATCTTGATATTCAAATTCATGAAGTATGGTTATTTGACCTGCTCCAGAAATGTCTTGATCTTTATCCTTAAAACTTCTACTCGTCGATGGCTGTTGTTCAATCAAACTTGCACTCGTCGATGGCTGTTGTTCAATCAAACTTGCACTCGTCGATGGCTCTTGATCCATCAAACTTGCACTCGTCGATGGCTCTTGATCCATCAAATTTGCACTCGTCGATGGCTCATCGATGGTGATTTGAAACGAAGTCCGGCTAGCAATCGTTGCAACTCTTAATGTTCTGTTGATTGGACAATTATTTTTATTGAAAATACAAATAATTAACATTATATTGATACTTACTCATAATATTGCTTGTGATTTCTTCTTATATGATCATGAAATTGTTTTTTGCTTGTTATGCGTGAAAGATTTCCTGTTAATTCCTGCTTTTTCTCACATAGAAAACATATTAAACCCAAATCCGAACCCAGGCCTTTTTCTTTAATTTTTGCTTCGCATTTATTGAGACCATCTATCATTTTCTTATATTCGGGATCATTACTTTCCGCCATTTTACTGTTTAGTCTTTTTTTGATGATTGATGATTGCATTTTGATGATTGTGATAAACTGGAGTTAGCGTTGTTCAAATATACGAATTATTCAACGTGTTCGAAAAGAAAACGGAGTATAATGAAAATTTAATGAAACAAGTGTTTAAATAGCAAAATTGAATTATTGAACATCTTCATCATTATCCAAATGTTTTGATTTGATGGCAATTCATTAATGATGTCTGCGGTTATTAATCCAATTAATTGAATTGTCTGACATCTTCATCATTTTCCAAATGTTTTGATTTGATGGCGATTCATTAATGATGTCTGCGGTTATTAATCCAATTAATTGAATTGTCAGACATCTTCATCATTATCAAAATATGCAAAATCATATTTTGATTTGATGGCAATTCATTAATGATGTCTGAGGTTATTAATTAATTAATTAATTATTCAATTAATCCAATCGTTGAGATTGTTGAGCCAGGGTTAATATAAAAAAGCAAATCAGATCGTTTTGATTCATTCATTTTCAATAAATTATTAACGCATTCAACGACATAAAAATATTTCGTTTTTGTTCATCAAACTTTGCGAATAAATTAATTCTTCAAACACTTTTTCCAGACAACATTTACAAATGTAAGTATAATTTAATCATATTTTATTTTTATTAAATTAAAAATAGTTATGTAAACAATCACAAATTGTTACTGTAAACAAATTTATGAATTTTTTCAACAAACATACAAAGAATATTAACATTATCAAAATTAATATTGCTGCCAAAATGTACATCCAGAAATTCATATCGCCAATATCATTGATTTTTCCAAAACTGCTTTCATCTTCCATATCTTTTACAATTGTTATATTCGTTTTATTTTTTAGGTAAGTGTCATAGTAATTTTTCCACTCAGAGAAAAATTCATCATCATCATGCTTGATTGTTATAAAAAAAATCAAAGAAAAAATTAATGAAATATAAAAATCATCGATTCAAGTTAACTTACATTATTAACATTCATGATTGCACGCTCGAATTTTTTTGAATGAACGGATGAGTCGAGTGTCTTTTCCTTTTTATTCGAATCGAGAGCAGGCAATTCGCAAATAACGTTACGACTTGTTGAATATTCTTACTAAATTTATTCACAATTCATTGATACATTTTTGATAATCTCTTTCTCAGATAATCTTCAGAATTAATTACAATATTATTCATAATGGCTAAAAAATATAAATTAGATCAAGAATCTCGAAATCTGATCAAATTTATTCATGACAGCCTATTAAAAATGCAACACGAGTTAATTTTGGATCCTTCTGAAGTTCCTCTCCAAGATCTGAAAAACGAGTTGATAGGTTTTCGTAATCAATTGGATGAAATAATGGCGAAATTTGATGATTGGAAAAAATTTGGTAAAACTTTATTATTCCATGTCGAGAAAATTACTTTATGTCATCTTATGATCAACAAACTGTGGTATTGGAAAATCTTAGATGATCATCAGATTCAAACAATGTCATGAATAAAGTTTTATTGAAATCATCATTACTATAACAATGTTTATTTATCAAACTTATGATAATAATTCAGTTACAAATTATTCAAATAATAAAATATTGTAATATTCTAAAAAATCAGAGTTCTAATCATTTCAAACTTATTTTCTTCAATTAGATTAACCAAAAATATGCAATTTCACATCATCAAAAGAATCATGTTATATATCGCTCTCGGGTTGGTCAACAATGCTAAAACGAACTCGCATTCAATTGCGACTTCCTTCCCGATCTTGTGGACAAAATCAAAACAAAATGTTGCCACAAATTATATTGAAGCGGAGGTCAACATAATTCTTAGATCTCCATGCCTAGTTTTCAATTCAGCCAATTTCACCGTAAGCCGTGATGAATTCGATGAATGTATATATTCGTATAAGAACCACATCGTTGATCCTTTGAAAAAACTTTGCAATTCATCATCCAACGAATCACCAAAATCAAAACGGGCAATGAGTTTTAAGAATGTGTCAAAAGCTCTAAAAATTTTAGTCGTTGGAGCGATTGGTTACCAATTATATAGCCAATCCAAAAAGATCGAAACCCTTGTTGAATTGCAAAAATACGACAACAAAATCCATCATGAAATTGTGGAAAAATTAAAAAACATTCGACAAGAATTCAATCGAATGGAGAATGAGATGCATGTAAATAAAATTTTGTCAATTCTTCATTCAAGATTTCAACAAGATGAATTCTTGATTAATCAATTATTTACTCAAACTAAAAACACAATTATCCCCCCGTCATTCCACATGCTATTTAGAAATCTTTCTCTTTGTCCTAACTGTCCAACAAATGATTGGCATCTGGAATCTTGTAAATACACTGCAAAACCATTTGTGACAGCCCCTACCCTTACTTTATTTATTAATGCACTTGAAATCGACCTCAAATATCAAATTTTAGAGGCCGATCCATTCACCATATTAGCCCCAGACCCAATAAATCCCGAAAATTTATGTTTTTCTGAATTTTCTGGCTACATGCATTCCATACTCAATCTGGAAACGAAATGTGTAAAAAATATTGCTTTTAATCCGGTAGACGATCATCAAATTCCAATTATATTCCATTCCGAAGGTTGCGAAGATGATCTTCATTCCAGACCAATCTGGAAAACAAAACGATGCATACCAAAACGTTCTATCACACCGGAAATGGCTGTCCAAATTAAGCACGATGAACAATTCGTGTATGTTTATTGTTATACTCAAAATATAACAATACTTGGCTTTGAACAGCCATGTAAAAATTTGATCTACCAATTTGAAAAAGGTCAGAACTTAACCATTAATAAAGTAGCCACAAAGTTCAAAAAAATGAAAATTTACACATCCCAATCCTTAGCACCAAACATTAATCAATTAATTAATTTTCAAAAATTTCATAATATTGATGATTCCATCAACTTGGAAAAACTAGAATCCCTTGTTGAAGTAGAACATAAGATTCTATTAGATAAATTTGCAAATAATTTTTTTAATTATCATATTCCAAAATTTATTATTTTTTGCATTATTATTGTTTTAATCATAATGTTAATAGCAATTTTCTTATATGGTTATTATTTAATCAGAATAAGAAATTTTAGACAAGTTGCAAGAGAGCAATACCAGCTCGCAACAATTAGTTCACGCAGAATACACTGATAAAATTATTCCACTGCTGTGAACTTGAAACAAATTGACAACATTCAACACATTATTTTGTCTAAATATAATTTCATTTTGTAAATTTTGTAAATAAATGATTTTCTTTTTTTAACATCAATTTCATTTTTATTTAATAAAATCGATATTTTTTATTCAATATTTTTTGATGATTAATGTGGAGTGAAGACTTTGAATTTTTTCGTTGAAAATATGAATATTTAGTTCAAACATCCTTTTAGACAGACAGTTGGTTTATATTTTGTTTAACATAAATTTTTAAGCCATCATATAATTGGTTATTTATTATTTAGAACATAAGGCAACAATATTGGTTTGTTATAAAAGGATTCAATATACAAAAAATTGAAAAATTAATTCTTTTGGAGCATCATCGTTAACAGAGGTTTTTTTCCTGGCTACCGTCGTTAAACGAAATTGTCGGTAGCGAGGTGTCACTGTAGTTTCAGATCATCATTGAATTTTCAAAATGGTTCAAGAAAAAAGAATTTTTTAAAAAGAATCAAGAAAAGAATCTCAATTTTTAAAAAAAATTAATTTATCTTAATGCACAACAAATAAGATTTTGTATAAAAATATATGATTTTTTATAAATAATCTGAAATATTAAGCAATTTTTCGACGGTCTTTTTTTTTAAAAACTGTAACAT